TGCAAACACATGGGGGCTCAATTCACCAAAACCTGCTCCTTTGTACTGCTCCATCATATGAGTATCATAGAGATGTGGTAACCTTTGAAACGGATTTACAGCAATCAAGATGTTTCCAGTATAAGTCTGAAAATGCAATGTAATGGAAGTACTTAGGATCGTATACTGCTTAGAAATTAAATATGTGATTACATTAGTACTCAGCGCAGAACAACTTACATAAATTTCATTCAGCTCATATCTCATGGCCAGGTTATTCAAAACACCAGGTTCATGTAGATATGAGAGCTTTGTCATGTCATCGACACCCCCAGGTAGCGCCTCCATATCCTTTGGAAATACATTTGCGATTTTGGCCACAACCTGAAATTAAAATGCATTAATTGATTTCATTCTCATGCCAAATTATGCTAAGCTCATATGCTCGGAAAGCAACAAGTATCCAAGGGAAAAGAAGTTACAGGCCTAGTGACATTCTTTCTCAATTGCAAGGTACATTGCAAAAAACATGGAAGGTGGATAAACAACTTACGGTCTTCCCGTTAGTAGTCTGTACATGAACTTCTTCGCCATTGATTTTGACAACTTCTCCATCAACCCATGCCAGCCCTGGATCTTCAATCCAAACATGAGAGCCAACTATTATATTGACTGGGGCAACCTACAAGATGATAAAGATTGAAAGTGTGAGATGCAGAGATATCAAACAACTTCACAGAAGCTATAGTTCTAATAGGAATTGAGGGAAACTATACACTTGAATCATAAAACACTTGAAAGAAAGAAAGCTTTTCAAGATTTTGTGTAGAGGAACAGATGCCTAAAAAAATTTATAATGTTAAAAATACAATCAACATGCGTTAGAGGTGGAAAACAAAAAGAAAGAAACATTCTCAAGCATAGAACAACTTATACAATGTAAAACATAAGAAGCATTGAAGGAAGCATTTTATGAGCTTTGAACAAATTTAGATTTTGATGAACCCACATAAGTTTCATACAAGAACAGCAGAATGGTACTACTCGATCTTATAGTTTCATGTCCATTGTCCAAAGAACAGTAAGTGCCAATATGAATCTGGTAACCTTATAATGAATCTAGCACTCCAAAGCAATTACATCTTATAATCTGCAAAACTATACCTTCACCCATGAAAAATAAATTTTCTTAAAATGGTGGAACCTAAAGAAGTTTCCTGATCATATATACATAAAAAGACAATATAACATGACCTAATACATACACTACATGCTATTCTAGGCAAGCTTGAGAGCAACTAACTTATAATAGAAGTTACAAAAAAACATATAACTTTATGAGAGTCACTGATAATAAAAGATCTCTTTTTTGTTGCTCTGATAATCCGATAAAGCATAAAACAAAACAGAATAAGCAAACGAAGGAGGAGGATTTACCATGGCTACTCTTCTTCCTCTGCAATAAAGATCCTATCTTTACCAGTAGCTCATCCAATACAGAGCGCCTGAAGAATCAGATCGGGCAGATTCTAAAGGTTGTTTTCTTGTGGGGTGAGTCAGCAACAGCCGCCACGGGAGAAAAAACGAGAAGATCGGATTTGACTGTAATAAGAGTCGCAGAGAAAACGTAAATAACCAAAAATGTTTTTAAAGTTGAATCGGAATGTTTTTATTTCTCTCTCTCTCTCTCTCTCTCTCTCTCTTGATGTTGAAGAAAGAGTTGGACTTGTAGCAGCAGACGTCTAATGGTTTTTTTTTCTTTTCTCTTTCTCTCTCCTCGACCAGCAAAGCAAATGTTTCTCTTTCTTTCTCTCTCTAAAAACACTTTTTTGAAAAAAGAAATAAAAATGTTTTGTTTGGGTGCTTGAGAATGGAGATTGGTCGAGTGGGGTCCACTGAGACTTAGGGACGGTGCTGGATTGTGAGTTGGACATTCGTGGTCAGCCACCCGAAGAATCATATGTAAGAAGCAGACAACAACAACGAATTAGAGTTTGTTCGGTAAGAAAATTAAAAATTTTACATTTGTAAAAAAAAAAAAAGAAAAATTAGTGGTGGTCGTTTCGGTTTCCGGGTTTAGTTTCGGTTTGGTTCTATACGAATTAGTTATCATTTACTGACAAGTTTTTTCACAGAAAAGTATTCTACATCACCCTAGTTACAAAAAATATATTCTCACTACCCCACATTTTATCTCATTACCCCACCCTTTTCCCCTTTACCTTTTTACCCTTTCTTTTTCTTTTCTATTTTTATCTTTATTTCCTAAAATTATGGGACCCACAATTTTATTTTATTTTATTTTTTCGTGTGGGTCACCAAATTTTTCTTTGGATTAGAATTTTTTTATCAAATTTATTTAAGCTAGATATTTATTTTTAAAAAATTAACTAATTTTTTTATTAATAACGAAAAATTATGAAAACAAAATAAAAATTTTCTGTATATATTAAAATATCATTTTTAAATAATAAAATAAAATAATAATTTTTTTAATATTTTAACAAACAATTAATTTTACGTTTTTTACAAAATATCTATAAATTACTTTTCCTAAATTAAAAATTTATCTGTTTTATATAAAATTTAGTAAATTTAAAAGAAAATATTTTTCTCTTTTTAATCAAAAATTAATTTCAAAAATATTTATATAAATCGTTTCAATAATATTTCAAAAATACACTTTAATAAAATATGTATTTTTTATTTTTTGTCACTGGTTTTTTTCATGGTAATAAAAGATATTTAAATCAATAATTAATATCAAAAATAAATATGATATTTATGAAAATATTTCTATAAATTTTGGTTATATAAAAATATTATAAATAATAAAATTAATAATATATGTACTTCAAGATATTTTAATCAAAACTAAATTAAAAAAAAATATTTCTATAAATTCTAATTATTTAAAATTATTCCTTTTTAACTGGATTTAATTAAAAATATTTAAAATATATAAATTTAGTAAAATATATATTTTAATAGTCACAATTATAGTTTTAAAATTAATGTAATAAAAATTTAAATAATTTAATTTTTCTAAGTTAGAATTATTTTGTTCACATAAACTTTACAAGTTTAAAATATTTTATTCATTTATTTTTATGTTTTATGAACTACTAAGAACTACCTTGTACTACCTTGAATTACCTTGGAATACCTTGGAACTACTATGTATTAGGCGTATTTCTAAGAATCTTACTTTTCGTCTTAATAATTATTTTTAGAAGATGTATCTCATATACTACGAGATTATATATACATATTTGTGTTTATTTGTCAAATTAGACATAAAGAAACTTTTAATTTCTCAAGTTGATAGAAAACTTCTCATTTCCATAGAAAACATCTTTATACTTCTATATCTAACATCTTGATGGAAAGACCATAATAACATGAATAATAGAAAATACATATTTTCTGAGTTTTTTCCCGCCATTGTGTTATATACAATGTAAAACTATCTAAATACATTGGTATTACTAATAAATTTGATTTTTTAATGTGGTATTACTAAAAATTGCTGAAATTAGCAAAAATATTACTATGATGAATGAAATATTACTACAACCTTGAGTACTACTAAGTGTAAATATTCAAACAAGTGTTCTCTCTTTTTTTATAAAATGTAGTAGTACAATTTTTTTAGACATAGCTTACCTTAATAACATGTGTTAAATATATTCTAAACGTTTTAGACATATTTGAAACTTTTTTTATTTATCTTAGTAATACCTAGTAAAACTAGTAGTTCAAATACAATACTAGTTTATGGTATATATGTTTAAAATGTATGATTTTTTTACTTCACTTAGTTATAAAATAATACTAGTTTATGGTATATATGTTTAAAATGTATGATTTATAATTAAAAATTATAAAAAATATAAGTTCTTAAAGAAAAACTCGCGATCTATACGACCAACAAAAGCATTTTTTTGTTGCTAATATCTAATTCAAACCCTAACAAATGATAAAATTCGATTAGATTTTTTCTACGTTCAAAACTTTGCTAGGAGTTAATGAAAAATTGAATTTTCAAAGATTAATCGAGGACTAATAATAGGATTTTATTTTATTTTTAAAATAACGTATATATGAAAGGTAATTATATAAATTGACCAAAGAGATAACACGTGGTCTGGTGGTATGTTCCTAGCTTGTTATCTTGCCAGCCCTGGGTTTAATTTTTCATTTTGTTGGTTTGGCTTATTTTATTTTCAAATAAAAGTATATAGAAAATTTAGTTTATGCAAATATCACAAAGTATCTTGCAGTCTGGTGGGATTCTCCTTGTTTCTAATCAAAGAAGCCCCCGGGTTCGATTCTAGGTTTTTTTTTTCTTTCTATATTATTAATGAATGGCAGTTTCGTAATTATCTCTTCTTCTTCCTATTAGGGTTTTGTCGATTCTGTGATTTTTTCCTGCGGCCGCCATGGATTTTCTTCAACGGATCTTCAATTTTTATGGGTGTTTTAATTATTGTTTACACCTTACAAATATCTTTATCAATACTCATCGATTTTGACTTTCAAATAGCGAAAACAAACATTTTTTTGTTATACTCCATGGCAGGAGTTATATAGAACAGAGAGGAAACACGAATTCATGGGTTTTTATCACCGGTGAAACATCTCACAGTAAGAGAGAAGTGATTCAGAGTTAATTTTGAATAGGAAAACAAAGAAATTTTTTTTTCTGTCGATTAGGATTGCAGCAAAAAAAAAGAAGGGAAAATGTAAGGATTGGGGAATTGTAATTTTGACTAAAGGGAAAAAGTAAATACTTGGAACAAATTAGAGGGTTTAGGTTAGGTTTGGTTGTAGTTTTGTAGATTCATCAAGGGTAGTTTTGTATTTACGTACATTTCTGTAATTAAAAGAAAAAGAAAATTAAATAATTTATTAGAAGGGACAAATTAGAATAGCGATGGGAGTGACTGGGGTAAGGAAGAATACGACTCTTTTTCACATCTGCAAATCTGAGTAAGAAGAAGAAGAAGGAGAGGAGAGCAATGACAATGATGATGAGATCTTTCTCGATGGCAATGTTGATCGTCGTGGCACTACTTTCATTCATCTCTTTGGTTTCTTCATCTCCTGAAGCAGAGTTTGTTCAGAAGACCATCTCTTCCCACAAGATCGTCATCTTCTCCAAATCCTACTGCCCGTACCTACTCTCTATCTATCTATATGTTCATTTCAAATCGCTGCTTATCTGCTTCTCATAAAAAAGATTGGATCTTTACTGCCTTTGGTTTATGTTTTTGTTTCTGGATCTTACCAAATTGAGTCTTGACTGTAGTGAAAACTCTCCACATTGCTATGAATCTGTGTCTAACCTTAATTCAGTCAAAGTCCTCAGCTTTGCCTCCTTACAAATGGTTTGAACTAGATATGTGTGGCCATGTGGGAATATAACTTTGGAGTTTGTTCTTGACATTTTAGAGTTCAGTTATGTTCTATTGCTTTAAGTAACCTTTGGCCTTTTTTAGAGTTATGAAATGAGGTCACTTATTTATATCTATTATGACTTTTTCTTTTTTGGACAAAATAGGTATGATGACTAAGAATCCTTTTGTTGGGTTAAATAGGTATTGCAGGAGAGCAAAATCGGTGTTCAGTGAGCTTGATCAGGTTCCTCATGTTGTAGAGCTTGACGAAAGAGGTGCGTTTTAAGGGAATCATAATCCAACTATGTTTCTTTCCTCTTTGTTTCTCAGACATTGCTATTACTTTCAAAAACTTGTGATGGATCAGTGTACAGAAGATTCATTTGTGACTAACATTGAGAACTAATTAGATGTTTGTATAAAAAAATTGGGTCTTTGCAGAAGATGGGTGGAGCATACAGAGTGCACTTGGAGAGATTGTTGGAAGGCGAACAATACCACAAGTTTTCATCAACGGAAAACACATCGGAGGATCAGACGGTTAATACTCTCTCCTTCAAGAGAATGTATTTGCTTATGACAACCACATATGCTCTGGTTGATTCATTTGTTTGTTGTTTTCTGGTTTTCAGATACTATAGAAGCACATGAGAGTGGGGAACTGGCCAAGCTTCTCGGTGTTTCCACAAAAGCTGAACTCTAGAGTTGAATGTTAGTTGGAAGAACTGATAACAAACACTATTTCTGTAATACTAATACTCAAGGTCAAAGCACTTGAGTTTTGATTTCCAGTTGTATGAAACATGAAATGGGATGGGTTTTGAGGATTATAAACGTCTTGTCATGACTTTGTGAAACGATTATTATCAATGACTACAAAGTTGAGTTATCTTCAAACTAACTGTCTGAATAACATACAGATTTAAAAGTGCATTTTACAATTTGGTGGGGGAGGGATGGCTTTGATAGATTTGGCTAAGGGGCTAGTGATACACAAAACATTCTCAAGGACGAGCTCTTTTGTTGCTGCAAGAAGGGCACTTGTAATGCTTGATATGCTCAGCTCTAGCTGGAGTGATCTTCACACACTTGCCATGAAACCATTTCTCGCACATGTCACAGCAAATCCAGAATTCAGAAGCATAGTTTTCTCCACAAGCTCCACATAGAGTTTCACCGTGTTCCTCCTCTTCATCATCACCTTCCTCTACTCCTTCATCCTCCTCTTCATCCACCTCTATCTTCTTCCTTGAGCTTTTGACATCTAAATCTCTCTGCATATTCCAGATCAATAGAAACTATTGACTGACTACACCACCAGAGCATGTGTACACTTCAAAAACAAAACTAATCAAAGGACAGCACGAATCTTACAAGTTTTGAATTTGACTTGGATCTGTTGCCATTTTTATTTACTGAAGAGGGCTGCTGTTCATCTGTTTGTTTTTTAGCACTTCCAGTTACAACTTCAAATACAGTAGGAACCTCGTTTATCATGTTGAACAAGCGCTTCCTGAATATAAGTAAGTGTACCTGTTAGTGTGGAAGATGCTATAGAGATATCATCATGATAATGATTGAAGAAGGATACTAAATTACCTGTCAGCTTTATCGAAACCAGATCTTGAACAGAAGTAAAAGGAGACAGCGAGCAACCACGCATCACTGTGGACAGCAACAAGAGAAATCCATTCTTTTTCTTGCATTCCATCTCTAGCAAAGTTGATGCCGAGAGCAGGTTCAGGGAGTTCTGGAGGCACTTCTTCAGCTGGTAAGTTAACTTCCCACACTTCATTCGGGAAGCCATACAAGCAAAGGTTGTCCTTCTCTAAAATAACAGGCTTTCAGTTTATCAAATAGAAAACAAACATCAAATACTCTTAAGAAAACGATAGTCTGCTATATAGTAAAGACTCAGAAGATTGTCTTAGAAAGAAACATTGATCAAATGGTCAGTGATGCCAACAAAAGATCAAATGGTCAGTACAATGAGTCACCAGTATCAAAGAAAAGTAAAGAGAAAAAAATAATGTAATTTTAAGTGTCACTATTGATTTGGTTAAGACTCTGTTACTATTTTCTTTTGACATCAACATAAAAAACTCATCACGACTCTGCTAACAGAAGAAATAATAAAAGCTGTACATTAACACTATCAGCATAAGGAATCAATCACTGCAAAAAGAATCTGTTATCATTATCTTGAGTAGAAGATAGAATAAAAGCTGTAGATTAACACTATCAGCGTAAGGAATCAATCACTACAAATGAAACTCCTAAAACGAGAGAACATAACCATTAAAAGGAGCTAGAGGATCCAAGCTAGAAAGTGAAAATTGGGTGATAGATGAAGTAGCTTGAGAAAGGAATAACAAAAGACTAGAGAAAGAGAAACTAACCAGGGTTGCATTGCTTGAAAAACTCTTCCACATCTGCAAAAAAAAAATTTAAAACAATTCAGAATATTTTATTCTTTAAATTCAAGAAAGTAACCACCACCATCAACACAGCACAACACAACACAATTCAAAGACTGAATCAGACAAGAAACTATGGTCGTGAAGGAATAGTCAAAACCCAAAAGGAAAAAAGAAATGCAAACTTTAAGAAAGAGAGAAGAAACTGAAAGAGACCAGTGGTGAGAGCACGGAGGATGGCAGCACGACGGCCCTTGAAATCTCGGAAGACTTCTTCAACGGTTTTAGGGTTGTAGTGGGCACCTCCTCCTCCTCCTCCTCCTTCCATCTTCCTCTCACGATGAAAGAGCGGCACAGCACTCAAGTTTTGTGTCTTTTTGAAAAAGAAAAGTACACAAAGTCTTTTTCTTTTTGGTTTCAAGTGAGTGATTATGATAAAAGCAGCAAACTTTGGTTTTAAAAATAATAATTGAATGAAGACGAAAAGTTGCTGCTCCTTTGAAAGTGACAGACAGGCTGCCCGATCTAGTCACACGTCAATTCTTCTTTTTCAAATATTTACCCCAAAAAAACACAAAATCGAAATAATACTTTGCTGTAGAGACACTTGAGGATAGATTATTAAACTGGAATTGCTCATCTGAAAGTAAAATAGAACTTGAAAAAGAATCAAACATGTTCTTCTTTAAACATTATTCATCTCAGTTAACACCACAACTTAGATGAAGTCTAGTCCATGAATAACATTACTAAGAGATGTTGAATAGATTATTTTAGATAAGTGAGTGCTCCTGGTTTTTAATTCAAATCACCCCCCCCTAGGGGTGGGCGTTCGGGTACCCGTTCGGGTTCGGGTCGGGTATTTCGGGTTTTCGGGTATTTCGGTATTGGGGTATAAAACCCGTTCGGGTATTTTTACATATCGGGTCGGGTTCGGATATTTTTAATTCGGGTTCGGTTATTTCGGGTCGGGTTAGGATATTTAGATTTTGAAAGAAAATTTCAAATTCTTTATTACTTAATTTTCATGTATTTAAAATTTAACTATTAACTTAACTGTTTTTAAAATGTTTAATAAGTTAAACGATTAATAATTTTGAAAATAAATTATTGAAAATAAAATTCATTATTTTGATTGTTATTTTTGAATTTTGGATGCAAATTTTGTTTAAAATAAGGAATAAGAAGCTTAATATGCATTTTAAATGAGTAACAAATTTTTTTTTTTTTTTTTACAATTATATGTATATTATCTGATCTTAAATTATATATAACATTAATATAAATATTTTTAATAAAATGAGATAAATAAACTAGGAATAAATAGGTATATATACATATGTTCGGTTATCTTCGGATACCCGTTCGGGTTCGGGTAATACCCGTTCGGGTTCGGATATCCAAACTCTCCTAACTCAAT